TAAACAGTACCACATGAAGGTACTGCTCAATAGCTTTCATTTGAATGGTCACACACTAGGGTTTCATCCACAGACTTAAAAGTTAAAACCACTTTGTGAAGCACAACGAACAGTACCGGCAGTATTGTTAGGCCCCGTAAGTGAGTTCACTTTTGACTTGAGGTGACTCAAAATGGGGCGAATGACAACAGAGGCTAATGCCCTCTCATTTGATTAAGTAATGTGTATTTTTGGTGACGAGTCGAGGACGAACCAGTTCGCTCTATACTCGGTTAATACCTGGGATGATAACACATTCGAAGGCAAGTCGAATATATTAAGTTTGACTTTTAGAATTTGTTCTCGAATTTGTTTTGTTTTTGTTTTGTTTTCTGGGATCTGAATGCGACATACAAATGCCGAGTTGAATGATGTTTGACTAGGGTATAAATTAGCTTTGTTGTGTTAAGCTTCTAGATACACTGTTCAAGTTCATGTATATAATTAATACAAAGCCTTCAAATAAACATAACGATTTCTTATCTAAACCATAATACAAGTTTTTTCCTTAACACACAACGCGACGAAGATATTAAACTGCAATTCTTTCTCAAACCTTCGTTCAGGAAGTCTCTCCCGTTTTAGACGGGTTCCTCCAGGGCTTCAGATGTTTATTTCGCTAATTCATTAAACGACTTTGTAAATAGTTTTAAACCTACAAGAGTGGATAACACTTACCTATGGCTTGTGTTTGAATCCTGTTTCGAGAGATAAGGAAACAAAATTGTCTCTATAGCTAGTTCTGTTTGATAACAAGCTCTGAAGTTAGTAAAAAAAAAGTGAATTATACACACCAGCCCCTCTTCATATTACATCTTTTGTTTGCTCAGTTGCGTATTTTGAATTGGAAAGTTCTCCTTTGTGCAAAACGCCTGTCAGTTTATGAAGCGCCTCGAAAAGAGGTTGTCAAGGATGTGTTTATATTATTTTAAACATATGTTTTAACTATGTTTTAAACGAGCAATTAAAACTTGGGAAAGAAACTTGAGGGACTAACACTTGTCAAGGAAAAGCTATTTGTGTGAAATTGGGAAGTGATATTTGGGATGATCTGCAATGTTAATTGGGTGAAATTTTATAGGGCTTCAGTGGAATTCAAATACAACACTGTCATGTTAATTCGGTGCTGCCCTTGAGCTATATAAATAAAAAATATAGTAATAAAACAGGTTAAATTCTAGGCAAGAGATGTGCAGGCGCAGTAACGTGTAAGTGCCTTTTGTTATCGGACATTTTCCAAACATATATGAGTTATTGACCGAGTGTGAGGTCAAGATGGCTGGATATCGGCCAAGTTCTTTTTTTTTTTGCATGTTAATGGCCGAGACGGAGTCGAGGTCCATAAACACACAAACAAACAAAAAACGAGGCCGATGGCAAGCCATCTTGACCGAACAAGCTTGGTCAATAAAGAATTTATTACATGGCTTTCGGGGAAATATTTCTTGCGGGACAAGGCGGGTAGTCCCGGGTAGCTAATCACAGCGCAGGATTTGATTCATCTCGCCCGCTCGCGGAGCTAGCCACATAATAAAGGAAGTTAATTGGTCATCAATACCTTACTGCGCCTGTACATCTTCTGTACTATAGAAAATCGGCCTTCATCGCTCATGTATTGTACTTGTGATGTTCAAATCTCGTTCAAAACAGTAACAAAAACAATAACAACAACAACGACGACAACAATAATAATATAAATGCTCAAAATACCCGATATTTGCCGAAATTCATCAGATTTAAGAATAGAGGTCATGACTATGTAAAACATAGTTTGAAAGAGGTGGATAAAATTATTTTCCACATTCACAGCCCTCTATTAGGTTGCTTGGCAACAGTTACCAGCCAACCACACATAAACATCCGAACAAGTAAATTTGATTTTCAGTTCAACAGATGACTCGTTCAAGATTCAGTCTCATATTTTCTACAGTTATAATATGGCTCAATATCAATGTGTCGTATTTCCAGACTAAACATTTTCCATAAATGTATGGTTGTGTAGATCAAAGAACGCCGCTTGGAAACAAAGATTGCCTTTTCAGAAAGACTGGGCGGAATATGCACATTCCGCCATAACACATTTACATGTTAGTATAGCAGGCGGAATCGGATTATTATAAACGAGCCTGGAAACTAAATGAACCTTTTACCTTCGCGACAGTAGAATATAATGGACGAATTGCTTTTAGTCCCTTGTCAAATATATTTGAGGAATTATGAGAAAAAAAATGGGTCTTAAATGAGGCGGAGTTTTAAAGACAGCCATTTCGAAGACCTGTGACAGTAGTTTTTTTGCAGCTGTGTTTTTAAGTCAAACACGTTCGCATGCTGTCGAGGATATATATCGCTTTGACTGACATAGAAGCAAAGTTCGTGCCTTTGATGTCTTCCTGTAGACAATAAAATTTCGCATGGTACGTATTTAATTTAGCTGTATTTATTAGAAGAACAACCTGGTAATGAAGCAAACACACAAAAAAACTAGGGTTTGTGTTGATTGTACACATGCAATCAAAGTAAACGTCGAGAAATTCCCGAAAATTTATGATAAACATGTCAATTCTCCTTAAAACAACAATGCATTGACATGCGAACAAGTTATGAGAATATAACTTATTTTACAATGGACCAGAGAGTACCATCAACAATGAAAGATTAATAAAATTAAGAAGACGAGATAGACTGACTGCAATTAGTCAAAATAATTTGAATATGCAAAATTAACGGCGTGATGCAGTTCTTACTTTATTTGCTTTCAGTGAAGCCATGACTCTGATCTTTAATAAGATGTTTAGAATTCTGTGTCCGTAAAACAACAACAAAAAAATTTAGTGATTACAATCAATATTACTAATTTCTGCTTACGCCTTAAATTTGAGGATTTTCAAGCCTTAGCCGGTTATTGCACCGTTTGGAGAACGATCTAGAGAAGTTGTTTTTATTTTCGACTTTAAGTCGAGAAATTTAAAGGAATTATATTCATAGCGTGAGTTCGGTACATTACGAGCTATTTTGATTGACGAGAAATTTGCATAGCGTTTTATTGGGTTCAAGCTTTAATATCAATACAATTTATTTTTTGCTACAATCTGATCCTGATATAGAGACAATTTGGCTGCTGCGAGAATAAACTTCTCTATAAATGTAATATCTCAAGGCTAATTTTCTTTTTTCCTTTTTTTTTTTTTTGCCGTTTCGCTTATCAAAGGCGGAGGTTTTATGGTGCATTAGTATAATTGCTGTTATTTTCAACAACTCGCCTCAAAGTTCAATTAAACTCTTGAGTCTGCCGAAGTTTCATCGCTTGTTAAGAAACTAGTGCCTCTGAAGCCTTCAGGCGCGGAACGGCACAAAACAAGGGTTTTTAGCCTCGCCCTCAAGCTAGGGTTGTGCGTGAAGTAAACTAGAGGATTTGCAAAGCTACTGGTAAATGTAAACATATAGGCAAAGGTTAGCAAGTTGTCGGAATACTGAACATCTTTGCCAAAAGTTATCCAAAGCCAGACGACTTGGTGAGGTAACATACAAACTGCAAACACTATCACAAACAGAACAACCATGCGAACCGCGCGAACATGTCGCGTTCGGCGTTTAAGACGCGCTTGACGTGTGCCTGAAATAATCTCCGCGCCCTCGTGTTGTCCGCGACGAATACGGAACGCAATTCGAGCGTAACAAAACGTGATGATTGTCAGGGGAATCGCGTAGTGAAATGCGAACAGTCCAAGCGTGTAAACTTGGCTACCGAGTGTTCCCCATGTTTCAATGCACTCACCGTCCACAAGCCGCAAAAACGCTCCGTATGGTACAACTATTATCAGCGAAAACACCCAAATAAACGCTACGGTTGTGCGCGATGATTCCCGGCCCACTTTCCTTCTCTTCAAATGATTCACGATTCCTCTGTAGCGTTGTATGCTCATAGCAGTGAGAGTCAACACAAGCGCCCCAAATGGCGCGGTCTGCATCGGCCATAAAACATGGCACATGAACGAACCGAACACCCAGCCTTCCTCCGAGAACAACAAGGCAAAGTCAATTGGTATGGAAGTCACAGCGACGGCAGTTTCTGCCAAGATCATATTAACAAGAAAAACGTTTTTGTGCGAAGGTAGTCGACAACCTTTGCACAAAACCGCTAGCATAGCAGCGTTTCCCGTCATGCTGAGCACAAAAATCACCCCGTAAAAGATCTGCTGGACAATTCTCTGAGATAGAAAAACTGGGATTTCTTCCGCAACTGTGGTGTTCTTCGTTGAGTAAGAGCTGTCCATATGGTGATATATCGAGCCGTTCATCTTTTTTTTTCCCCGAGATTACAACTCTGTTAGTGTGAGTCAGTGTGATTCGTTACCATAAAAGACAATATCGCACATGCACAAGTTGTGCTCCACAGTTTGCCGATTCAATTGCAAATCAATTATTCGCTTGTTGCTAACTGGCCCGATAAGTCAATTTTTCCGCCTCATTTTCGGAATATTAACTGTAGGTTTCGGGGTAATATATGTTTTTGTCTTTTTTCAACGTCTTGTTTTTATGATTGAGAGAAACGGCGTTGTTTAATTAAACTTTAATGTTATCGGGAGGTTTAAAGCTTCGAATTAGTTATTCATGCCTCCGATGGTAATTAAACAGGGTTGGTTTTATAAAACACTTTGGCTGACAAAGTCGTCTTTGCATTTAATAAGGACTGATCCGATCAACGCAGTTAAAAAAAGCGACGTCCGTACCCGCTCTATCATTATCAAGCACTTTCTTTCAGACATCACGCCGTAAATGTAATTTTATACTGCTCTCTCGCTTTCCTCGAAAGATCATCTATTTCGCTTTAAGATAACGTTTAATTGAAAGGCGATCTGATCATAAATATTTGATCTCTGGGTCACCGCTGGTGACAATAGAGTTGACCCTTTTCACCTTAAAGAGCCTTGCGCACAATTCTTAAACGAAACAACACCATATATAAAAGAACTACTCCGCAATAGAATGCAATTGAATGGCCACACAACATGATTTTATAACAACCTTAAAAGCTCCGACTTAACATTAAAACACGCCTCCCCATGAATATTCCGTTTTTTCATAGAGATTCCTGGGATGAAGCCAAATGAGGGAATAAAGGCAGACTGTAAAACGCAACCGAACAAATAGAAAGAAAAGTTGATTGTTACGAGCAAACAAAAACTTCAGCCTGTGGCGTCAAGCAGGTGTGTGTTAATGCACATTTTGCTCCATATTTGTGATTCGAATGAATGTGATCGAGGCGCGAACTTATTTCAAAGCTTTTGTTTCTATTTGCCAACAACGCAACAAGAACTCTGTCCTTTTTAACCCTATCTGAAATCGCATGTTGTCAGAATTATTTTTGCTTGTTTGTAAACTCGGTCGACTTATCACTTCCACCGTGCAGATTTTTTTCTTCCGATTCACGAAAAAAGAAAGCCGGTAATGTATATATCTTGCTTCCAGGTTGTTCTACTTCCATTATCGAGGGCGAATTCTAAAAGAAAGTAATAAGGTTTGTTATCTGATTCAGATATGGCTTTAAAATCACCCCAGACTTTTTGTCTTCATCAAGTGACGCCTTAAGTCAATCTTTTTCTTCTATTCAAGTTTTTCAATGGCTTTACTCAATGCAAATTAAGTATCAGAAAATGTTTATGGGTTTTGATAGCATTACCTTAAGGTCATAATCATTGAGTGGATGTACTAAATTTGGCAATTTTCCTTTGGCGCAATTGAACGACTATTCATGTTATTTCTTCGTTTTACACCGTGTAAAAGGCTTTTACTGATTATGCTTTTGGTAATCTTGGCATAAACGTCTATGCAACACCAAGCAAGTGCGTTGTCGGGAAATCGCCAGTCACTTATACTAAGTGATCGCTATAAAAAGACGCTTACAGATAAGTTTTCTGTAAATAAAATCAGTGTTGCAGGAAGCTATCAAGTATTTTTTCTTTCTCGCGTCTAAGTCTGTGAATGAAACCTTGTGCCCATTCAAATGAAAGCTATTGAGCAGTACTTTCATGTGGCACTGTTTATTATGCTTTGCAAGGTGGTTCTAACTTGTAAGTCTGAGGATGATACTCTAGTGTGTGACCATTCAAATGAAAGCTATTGAGCAGTACTTTCATGGGTACTGTATATTATGCTGTACAAGGTGGCTCTAACTTTTACTTCTGTGGACGAAACCCTAGTGTGTGACCATTCAAATGAAAGCTATTGAGCAGTACTTTCATGTGGTACTGTATATTATGCTGTAGAAAGTGGTTCTAACTGTTAAGCCTGTGGATGAAACCTAAGTGTGTGACCATTCAAATGAAAGCTGTTGAGCAGTACTTTCATGAGGTACTGTTTATTATGCTGTACATAGTGGTTCTAACTTTTATGTCTGTGGATGACACCCTAGTGTGTGACCATTCAAATGAAAGCTATTCAGTGAGCAGTATTTTCATGTGGTCCTGTTTCATGTGGTACTGTTTATTAACGCCTTGCATTGCACCCCAAAAGCGATTTCGGATTAATTCTAACTTCATCCGCTTTGCTAACCACAGTTTATAACTGCGTCGAAATCAGCGAGTATTCATTAAAGATAACGAGACTTCGGGTGGTTGCTAAGTTTTTCTTTTTTAATTTTAAATAACCATTCTCCGTTTCTTAATTATCAGTCATTAGTTTATTATATACATTTATTACAACTTCATTTGGACCTAAGACTATTTTATTGATCCTTACTCTAGATATAAACGACCATGCACGTTCTGAGCTTTATTGGGGGCGCGATAGTTCTTGGGATTGTTGAAGTAGATGTTGGAGAAGTCAAGATGGCGGAAGAACATAACAATCTGATCAAAAGTTCGTGTTATAATTACGGCCTCCAAACTGAAGCTCGTCCTCTTAACTGAATCTGAAAATGCTGTGGCTCTCTTTTTTTTTCTCCAAAGTCTCCATACAATTGAGAACACGACAGTTCGTTGGCTCAGCCAGTTCGGTATTTATCTTAGAACATAACAAATGTGTCAACAGACGCCATCTTTTTATCTACCCAAACTGTCCCAGACAACCTTGTACGCTTGGGTCGTGCCCAGCCTCTCTCGAATTGGTAGTAGAGAGTTCTCTGCTAATATATCTAACACAACTACAGTTTACCATGATTTCAGTAACTTTTAGTTTAGAAAAGTTGCACGAGTACCTCAAGAAGATATAAACGAGTGCCTCGTGACAAATTTACGCAACGGAATACGTGATTCTCGTATCCTGTCTCACTCGTCCCGGTAAAGTTTTTTTTGTTAAGAAAAAAAAAAACCCCTTTAGATATCGTGACAGAGCCCCTTAATATATTTCGTAACAAATTATATACATATATTTTCTCAGTAATCGTACTCAAAATACAAGACAAAAAGATTGATATCTAACTAATCAACCTCGTTCCCAGGGTCTTCGTAAAAATCGTCGACGAGAAGGCTCTGGGGACAGGGTTGCCTTTTTCATAGGAAAGAAAATGGAAAGAAATATGGTATCTCAAGATTCATTTAAGCCGTGGTTTTGTAGCGAAGAAATTAAACTTTGTTCTTGACCTACGAAAATATAATTTTATCTAGAAGAGGCAGAAACAGTTTCAGTAAACTGACGACATTTCTATATAAGCTTAATTAATGAAACTTCTTTAGTTTTCGGCGAACGTTTTGTACCAACCATTGACATTTGAATCGATTCTCGCGAAACCAAGAGGCAGAATCCCGTTCACAGAGATTACTTAAAGCAAAAATAACGCAAAAATATATAAATATTGTAATTTCATTTCATTTAGGCTGCTCTTTTATAATTTCGTACCCATATCTCCCACGGTCAACGCCAATGGGTGGAGTCTGGATACAAGATTAGTCACCATGGTGATGGGATCTGTAAGCAACATGCGAATGTACTATGATGTTATAATAATGATAATGATGATGACGATGAATGCTAGATTTCTGTGGCGTTGTTCTGTTGTCATGTGGCGTATCTTTTTGTCCACTCCCTGGCTATTCTATCGTGCTCTTCTCTGTCATTGACATACTGTGTTGCGATGCTACCAACCAAAGGATCGGCTAAACGACAGAAAATAAATATATAAACAAAAATCTTCTAAGCATCGCTAAGCTGGAGAGCACAGCCCGAATCACTGACAAGTGTTTCATCCTGGGTCAATGATGGTCACGCACTTGTTACAGGTGTATATTTCCTTTTCATAGGCTTTAAGTATAAGGCTTGGCTCACACTAGCGACGTAACCTTATGTCGTTATGTTCATGCCGTTATGTTGCTATTACGTATGTCATTGTGTCAAGACGTTCACACTACAAACATAACGGCATATGTTTATGTCGTTACGTCGCTAGTGAGAACTTGGCCTAAAAAAAATTATCCACCTCGGGGACAATAAGCTACGAAGATATTTACCTCAAATTCGATAAATAATTCATGATTCTCGTGGTTAAACTCGGCTTTGGGAAAGTACAGAAGTGTAGCAGCCTTCACAAGCTTGTAATTCTTTTGCTTGTTAGCAGCTGTTATTGTTTTTGGGCTAGGGGCATTGTTTCTGTTGTTTGTTCTATTGTCCTCTCAAAGGATAACAAGCCATTCATACGAGACCTTACAAGAACTGCTACCCAACCCCTGAAAATAATTACGTTTTGAGTTCATTTTACCTGGATTACAGTCAGTGAGAAGTGAACAAACGGAGAGGAGAACTTTGGAAATGGTAAGAGCTGGACTCCAACTGTCTTTAAGAATGTCCAAACAGACCACGCCCTGAAAATGATACAAGAATGCTATTGGCAATCGATCCCTAATTCAGAGTCTTTCGCCGGCTGAAAAAATTTGGAAACCATTTATATGAAGCCAAACATTTTTCAAGAAGAACTCAATCAAAAGAAGATTGAAGTGTTGTATAGGGCAATTACTGTTTAATCGAGTGTCGGAAGAAATTCAGCATTGAATGGACGAACGAAGGAACGTGCGGATACCTACTTACGTACGATCGATCGATCAATCAATCAATCAATCTTTATTTGTACTCAATCTTGCTAAAAAAATTACAATGTTGAATGAAAATATTAAAAGTAAAAATTAGAGTACTAGCTGCCTGAAATAACCATAGGGGCTAGCGGAGCCAGGCAGCCTGTTAACATCAGCATCATACGAGCGTACGAACGTGCAACAAACGAAAGAGCGACCTAAGGAACGATCAACGGTACGAAGGAAGATACGTCCCACGACCAGATGTATGTACATAAAGGATGAAAGAATGAATGAACAAAAAAACGAACGTACGAACGTACGAACGTACGAACACACGAACGTACGATCGAACCAACGTACGAACGGAGCTCAATCGAAAACTACGCTAAAATATAATTCACTGACCTGACTGTTGATGTTACAGTGGTATATTCTGGTGCGGAAAGATACCTGTCAACAAAAACAACACGGAACACTCTTAGAGCTGCAAACAACGATCTCCTTTAACCCTTTGAGCCCCAAAAGCAATTCTCTTTACTGAAGAAAAAAAAATTCTTATGTCATTTAAGAGAATTTAGAGGTACATCAAGAAAATATAATCATCGTTTTCGAAAAGCTTCGTTTTCAAAATGTTTTCCGTTCATGCGAAAACGCAAAGCCGGCGTTTTAAAATTCCTCGGCGGTTTGAAGAGCGTTTTCGAAAAAGCTCCGTTTTCACGACGGATTAGTGTGGACGGTAGGCCTAACCGTAGAAATAAAGCTGCGTTTCCAGATTCCTCCGGCGAAGCGTGGAAGGGGTCTTAATGTGGGTTAAGTTTTAAAGTTCTTCTTCCAGAAAGAATTTTTTGGGGGTCTACGCTTAAAGATTTAATACACGGAGCGAAAATCTAAAGACGAACTAGAGAAAGGAAAAATAGAATGGCCAGGAGATCATCTTCACCAGAACGCGTGAGCCGGAACAAGGTTTAACTTTGTGGCATGCAGACGGAATCCTTATCATCTTTTTCAGATTATTACCGGAAACATTTGCTAATCAACACCGTGCTAAAGCTTATCAAGTTAATGATATTATTGTGTTTTTTTTTTGTATTTTCGAGTCACCCTTTGACATTTCATTATTCTGTAGACATGACTCGAAGCGCTAAATATGTACACAGGTCGCTGTTTATAAATAACCCGAAAATAGTTTTTGTCTGAGAGTTTTCGAATTCAATTTCGAAAGGGTTTGCGGAGAAAGCGCAGCAGATCAACAATTCTTTTTTGCCCACTATAAAAGTGCTTTTGTCAGATTAAAAGGAATATTAAATAAACGTTATAAATTAAAAACAAAATGTTGAGACTTATATTAGATCCTTTATTAATGATTGTCGAGTGACGCGAAAGGGTTCATAGCCTTTGTACTAATTACAAATCATTTGGCACAAATTCAGGAATTATTTATATCCTGAGAGTTCTCAAGCTCATCTAATAGCTGCTTTTTGAGGTCAAGAGCATTTTCACTTTTCACTTTCGTAAACGCTGGGAAATGTCTGCATATTTACATTCCAGAAACGAGTAATTTTCATAAATGAAATAAATGGGTACAAACATTACACTTTCTTACCAAGACTTAAAACACCTAATTAGTAGCTTTTTTTCAAATATAAGACCAGTTTACAATTTAGTGAAACACTGAAGTAAAATTAAGAAATAGTGACTTTCTTACCTTTGGGGGTTTAAAAGGATAATCCGTTGGAAAATGGATATCAAGGAAAAAGACTCCTCCTTCGTACACTGATTTCGGAGGACCAAGGATTGTCGAGTTCCATTCGTAAAGATTGTCACCTTTGGGTCCAGCGCTGAGGAAATAAAACAGACGAGAGGTTAACCGTGATAAGAGAAATAAACTTCATCGGTTTACCTCTTGCTGCTTGTAACCTTTTTCATTAAAAGCCTTGTTAAATTATTTAATGTGGTTAAAAATGTTTTTGTGCATAATTATCGGTCTTTTCGCAGGCCGAATGACCGATTGTTTATAAAATATTTGTACGTTACAGGGTATTTTTAAGGTAGAAATCTGTATCATAAATCTTTGTCTGTCTGATTGGGTCTTCGTTAAAAGAAAATCTCAGTTTTTCTGGCACAGATAAATATTTAGAAGAAAAATTACTTTTGTGTCGTTATGCGTAACTTTAGACAGATGATATTAATACCGTAGAATAAATTAAGAACATTTTGCCGCCAGCTTAAAATTGTCAAAAATTATATCCGGTGAACTATATTATTTTCTTCTTTTCGCTCAACGTGCGGTCAAGATGAAATGAATCGTGCAAACTGATTGGCTAACGAAAGGCACAGATATCTTTATTCCGGACCGCTCGCGCGTGCTGACAATTTTTAGCAGCCCTTTCCTATGTTATATAAAAAAATAATAATAATGAAACCTTATTAATGAAGCTTACGTGGCTTTCTGAAAAGCAAGGCTTGTCGTTGAAAAATTTCATAAATTTACAGTAAGGACTTTTCGGAAGAAACTTAACAAAAAGGATTAGTCAAAGTGCTATATATAGCTGGGACGATTAAATTAGTTAGTAGAGATAAATCCAATTTACGCTGCTCAGAAAATTCCTCACAGTTTAATTAATAATCATTTAAACCTACTCTGTCCTTCTTCAGTGCATCCGAAATTTTTTGGTTCAGATCTATGCCTTATTGATTTTTTGTCAAAAATTCACCGGATTGCAGAGATTTATGGCGCAATTTGAACACTACTCGTTAACACGTTGCTTCATAAAGCCTGTTACATTGACAAAAACATTTATCTCTAGTGTATTGTACAGATTACTTAGTCTGTGTACCGTAAAACGTTTAATGTTGGTCCTTAATATATCGCTTGCGAAGTGGAAAGGAAATATCTTTTGCAAATTCTTAATACCTCAAGTGTTCCTTGAAGTCTCGTAAATGGCATTTTAATCAGAGAATCATAGGTGGTTTTGATCAGGGCATTGCACACTGACTTAGCACATTAAAGAATTTATAAATAATGTAGAAAACCGCGGCATCATTTTGGAACAATATAGGGTCAATATAGACCGCCTTAACCTCATTAATAACACAATATTGTACAATGCAGATTCATCGAGTAAAAACCGTTTGAAGTTGTAAACAGTAATACAAGCACAATGTAAATGTTTTTGTCTTGAATGACATACTATTTACACCCACGAGAACTCACAATTTGACTACAACTAGTTTTATTTGTTTATGTAAATTTTCCCACGACTGAAATGAAATGATCAAAATATAAAACATGTAAGATGGAGACCGCGTGCTGTTATCTATACTGGCTGGACAAGGCTAATTACAGCCTGATCAAAGCAAAGTGCAGCTTACTCGGACACTATTTTAATAACTTGACGAGATTCTTTCCCAAACGGTTCTCTAAAGTTAGCATACGTTTACTAAGATAGGCGGTCTTGTGTTGTTTGAATTTGCTCTTTGCCAAACTTAATGGAACACTTAGCAGCTCCAGTGATGTTAAGTAGTATGGACCTCTGCAATTAGCAAAATTCCAGACGATTAGGCAAATATTGCGTTTCCAAAACGCCATAAAAAAATATTGAAGAACTAGCTACAATAAACGACAAGAAATCCCCGTTATCAAATTGAACTTATGTCGACTTTTGCTTGGGTAATGTTTTAATGAAATGACCGAGTTGAGAAACCGTGTTTTGCTTGAAGACTTGGATACGAAATATTATTGCACGGCAGGTGAAATTGTGCATTTACATACAATATATCAAGATTGGGAGACGATAAATCAAGCATTTTGCCGCACAACGAGGTCTCGCTAAATGTTCAGTCCTTTAAATATTTAACGTATCAATTACAGCATTTCAAAAATTACCAAAGACGAATACAACAGCTTGACTGTGGAAAAGGATAGAAGTCGAATACGATATTTTAACCTCTGTCACCAGAAAAACGAGTTTATTATGACAAACAGTTGTCAAGGAACAAACCGTGCGCAGCCAGGCTTAGCATATCTAGTTGAAGTTAACAAAACAAAGGCTCTTTGCACATTCAAATCCCACGTGGCTTTATAGTAAATGTCTTTACCACTTAAAATAAATAATTTATCCTTACGCGTCTATCTTGTTGGCAGAAATTTCCTAATCGGGGGCATATTTGATGAGAATTCCCGCTGTTTTTTTAAGCTGGATAGGAAAATCGTGTTTTGCCAGAGGACCAGTCGTGTTGTTCAATATAGTAATGATCAAGGCTTTATGGCAACCTGGCATAATTCAGGAAACAAAACCGTGTAGATCTATTGTTTTCAGTCCAAACAAGGGATTCAGGAGTCTGGTGTCTTATTTGAGGTCGAAGGATGAGGAAATATTACCTGCAATTTGGTGGAGGATCCAAAGCGATCTCGGCCAGTTCTCGCTGAATTCTGAAATACAGTACCGCAAAGATTACTTGTAACATGTAATACAAAGACAACCGCGAAAGCTGAATATGCTAATGAGCCGATATACCCCAACATCTTTACCCGTCGCGGACGGCCCTGAATTTTGAAGAATTACATACTCTGACAGTTGAAGATGGTCTGTTTGGTTCCTTTGTTCAAAGTAAGGCAATTCTTTCGTCTTTTCCCTAAAATTACAATAAGTGGGGAACGTCTAGAAGTTAACATGCAAATTAGAGATCAACTAGTCACATCATTGTCAGCTTTCGGCCCCTCCACCTATACTCGCCTGTGCAAATTACGCGAAATCCGCGATGTCAAGGATTTACCTACCTCTTAGCAGATGTTGAAGCTGATTTCAGGGGCCGGGGGCTGGCACCCCGGCCGCGAGCGGCTCGCTTGCCGTCACAGTTATCCTGAGGGGTTCTCCTCTCGCCATCAGATGAGGAACTCAATGCGCTGTGGTTTGACATGACCAGCACGATGAAGAGACCGTGTAAATTCACGCGACGAATCACGAGATCTGGACGCTGCCCTATATGGTAGCAAATGTACACTGATTAAACAGCTCCGGGTCATAGCAGCCCGTCTCGCGCGATCACGGCCTTCTGTCTACCGGCAAGAGAATTCAAAGCGGCTTTCGTGATCCTAACATTTGGACGGCAAATAGACACCTTATTTTGGGCGAACATTTCTCACCGCAGGACAGGAGAGTTGAAAGACAGCACGTGACAACTTTATGAGAGATTTGATTAGAGGGCAGTGACACATTTAACATGGCGGCCTGGTCTACCGGAATAAGAACGCTTCCTATTTTCCTCTGCGTACGAGAAACTTGTGAGCCACACGAGTATCAAATTATCACCAATAATGCTCCTTTTAGACGAAGAACAATTTCCGCTGGTAAATACACGGTCTCTTTGTGTTTAAACCGGACTGAACGCCTCTTTAAAGGAACTAGTCGTGCTTGAAAGAACGTGTCGGCCCCAACACGAAGGAACGCTTCTTACTCCGCGGTTACGTATGAGCAAATCATTGAAAATATATCAACACAAACTATACTCACGTACTCGCTAGATGATGGTCGATACTTCAGGCGTAAAAAAAGGCTGTTTTGGGGGACGTGTGAAGATTATCAAAGGTTTAAAGCTAGCGTAGACTGAAGCAGGAGCATCTACCGGACACAGATTCAACAGCTGCCAAGCCTGAAAGCCAGCGCGCAAAGCATTGTCAGTGGTCTCCGCCTGTCATAGAGACGTCATTAAGTTATCAATGGTTTGCGTCATAATACCAATTTACCGGCTATCGACACAACGAAGCAACCGACCAATCACAGCGCGCGTGTGGTGCGCTATTGAGTGAGGTCGAGTATCGTGAACAGCTGCCGATGTCTCCCAGGGGAATATAACAATGCACTTGTTTCGCTGATTGACATCCTGTAGGGTGAACACAATAACGGCCACAAGAACTTTGTTTGTTCTCCAGAAAACAACGTCGATACACAACTGGAAACTCGAATCATTTCATTGACAGTAGCGTCGTCAGCGGATGTAAAATGCGATAAAACAGAAGTTATTTACTGTGTTGTAAAGTTTGACTCAAATGCGGTTTACCAACCTCACCGCGTAAGAATTTACATTCCTAAATTTCCCTTGAAACCTGAAACACTGCGAAGATTTTCTGTGGGTCTGCTCGTTATAACACTTACGCTGGTTTCGCGAATTGTTCTGAAGTTGCATTTCCGAGGTTATTATTGGAAATGTAAATAAAAGTGAGATCGTTCATTTTATTTAAATTTTCTTTGTGTCAATGTAGATTGCTTTGCGTTTTACAGGGATGATATATAAACATAATAAGGTCAGGTTTGACAAACTTTGACCAACTTTCGTATCTGCGGTTTTCGAACCGGAATCGCTTAAAAATTCCAGACATCCGAGTTATTCTGAAATTAACGCGGTTAACTGCTTTCAGTTCTGTATTTGTCAAATTTACGAGTTCAGGTTTTACTCACGTGGCAAATATAATTGAGAGTACAATTGTCAAATGTTGGAACATGATATGAAACAAGATTACTTGTCGACCTCAACTTATCCAATCTCTCTTATAAAACGGCTTTTCAGCCGGTATCGTAAGAGCGGTCTATATCAGCTTATTTCTAACCGCTCGACCTCTTGGTGAAAGCAATATTCAGTTCTTTCTAACTGTAACAAATAGCAGTGTTAGAGCTGTTTTGTAGTTCTGTTGTTGTATATAGCCGTTAATAACCTTTTGAACAATACGCATATTGCACCGAGTTAAACAATATGTTTGCCTTTGTGTGAAGTGCTATTAAAGTTTTTACGCTTCGATAAATCTTTATGCTTGACAAGGCACGAAAATTCCCAAGGGAGCTTGATAGAAAGAATCTATTTTTCCGATTAGCCAGATAATGAACTATTAATTACAAGATTAGTGTTTTATAGTCTTGAATAATACCACTCAGAAGAAAAACAACATTGCAGAGAAAACTGTATTGAACAGCTAGGATTTTGAAGACTTGTATGCAAATTTCTACCTTGCAGTGCTCATGAAAAATTAATGACATGCAGTAATATTGATTTCTCTATCGCTAAGGACGTCGTTTGAACAAAGAATTAATATCAGCTTTTTGAATGGTTTTATTGTATGTACACCCGTACTCAGAAATAATTCATTGAGCAACTGCTCGAGGTATTGCCGACTGCATAAAAGATTAAGACAATATTTTGAGCTGTCAGAACGCTCCGCATTAAACAAAATGCAAAGCGTTTTGAAATCGAATACTATATGCCGGCTTGACGTGACCAACAATTGAGTAAACAAGACTAAACAAAAGGTAAACAAAAACCCCTTTCATGGTAGAAATTGAAAGTTATGTTTCACTTTTGTTCAACAAAAGCGTAGATAATGCAGGTAATACAATAAAGGGGCCTAATTTCATTCTTAAACTAAATTTCGTGGATGTAAATAATCTAACAAAAGCATGCTTCTTGCTTTTACAAAATGTTAGTGTTTTATTTAGAAAGTGCATTTATTCAAATAATCTAGTAAGTAATGCACAATAAATCAACATTAATCAAATACCAAAAAGCTTGTTGACAGTTGCAAGAAAGGTGTTTAATCTTGTTTTGTTGCTTTGCTCGTAGAATACAACCATATAAAAATATAATGAACAGTTAATTTTGGCATCAGTTGCACTTTTCTTGTAAAATAAAAATAGAAAACCCGGCCGTTGCTAGCCAA